GTTCAACCCTGTCTGACCATTATAATCAGGATCAGGGTGTCCCACAAGGCAGTATTTTGTCTGTAACATTGTTTAGCATCAAGATCAACAGTTTATCCAAGGTTTTAAATGATTCAATTGATGGATCACTTTTTGTGGATGATTTTAATATTTCTTGTGGCGGTAAGAATATGCATACTATTGAACGGCAACTACAGTTGTGTTTAAACAAAATAAATAAATGGTGTCTTGAAAACGGCTTTCAATTTTCTAAATAAAAAAAACTAATTGCATACATTTCTGCCGTAAATATGAACCACATAAAGACCCAGAACTGTTTTTAAATGGAACTCCCATCAAGGGTGTAAAAGAGGCCAAGTTCTTGGGTCTGATGTTCGACTCCCATTTAACATTTCTTCCGCATATCAAATCCCTAAAAACTAAATGCCTGAAGGCACTTGATTTATTGAAAGTCGTCTCTAATTCAAAGTGGGGAGGGGACCAAACTACCCTCCTACGCCTATATAGATCACTAGTCCGCACGAAGCTTGATTATGGCTCCGTCGTATATGGTGGAGCCTGTAAAAGCAACCTAAAACTCTTAGATTCTGTCCACCAACAAGGTCTGAGACTTTGTCTTGGGTCATTCAGATCATCTCCTGTAGACAGTCTCTACGTCGAGGTAGATGAGCCTTCTCTTACCCAACGCCGTATAAAATTATCATTACAGTATATTACCAAGCTATATTCTAACAAGTCTAATCCTGCGTTTCACTGCGTCTTTAATCCTCTTCACTCTGACTAAGTTTAAGGAAGCAGAAACTAATGAATTACAATATAGCAAGAATATAATCAATTAAAATGTAAATATAATACATATAAATCCTTATTTACAGATGGGTCCAAGGATAGTGGCGCGGTTGCTTGTGCCACTGTCATTGGGTCCAAAACAATATCTTCCAGATTACCCAATGACAGTTCAAGTTTCACAGCAGAAGCAAACGCAATACTAACAGCTCTTAAATATATTAATAAACACCGTAAATATAAACAATATATCATCTTTTAAGATTCTCTTTCGTGTCTTCAGGCTATTAAACATCTTTCTTTTATTAAAAATTATTGAATTGTATAATGACCTTGCTACTGGCCAATGCGACATCGTCTTATGTTGGTTACCCAGTCACGTTGGCATTTCTGGGAATACAATGGCCGATCTTGCTGCAAAGGCAGCACTCAACAAATCTGTGACACCACTTCTTATTCCATACTCTGATTACAAAGCTAGCATTAGAACTTACACTTAGACTGTGTTGAATTCTCCATCATAAGGGATAAATACTTCAATGTGAAAACAGTTAATGATCTTTTTAACACTGTTAATTTTCATTTAATTATTGGCTTTTTAAAAGAAAATGACTTAATGAATGAATTTTGAATAATATGTTCTGTACATATCTGTATTTTAATTATTGGTAGATTTGATTAGTAACTTAGATTGTTAGCGGCTGTACCCTCAAAGGGGATTGAAGTATTGTAAAATTATTGTCCTCCTGAGAGGGTACGTAAGTCCAAAAACATTTCAAGTAAATTTAAGTATACCAGGTGTTTTAATCGTAGTAATTTTGTCATTTTAATGTCTGGCTAATTCTCGGTATAAACGCCAACAGCTGAAGGGATGGTGTAAATCCAGCTAGGGTCCATGCAGGTAGCAAAAGTAATGTAAGTCCCCATGGGCCTTAGTATGGTGATCTACCTTCAGTTGTTGGCGATCTATAGCCCGTATTATATATTGCATTGTTTTCTTTAATTGAAATATTTTAACTTTGCGCTAGTTTTATATTTATAACTGTGATTCTCTAGTCTTTTTACTGTCCATCGTCGACAGGTTTTAATTTTCAAAATGTTTCTACTTTTTATTGTATGGCTTGCTTTCGTCACGATATGGCTGTAATATTGCCGATGTGACGTTAAATATTAACTCACGGACTCACTCTTGTTCACCCCCAGTGATGACGGATGAATAGTACAACCGGAAACGTTGAGACGCTGGGTTGTGCAGTACCATGTTGCACTGTAGATTACGGAGACACATCCACAAGCATGCAGCTTTGTCAGAAACACTGCGTTCAGTGATGAAGGTGTCATTGAACATTTGTCCGTCCAAACTTCTATGATGGTTAAATGTCAGAATGCCGCATGACTGTAAACCTGAGCTGTAAGTCATGGTGATGGTGAGAACAATCTGAACAAATCCCAACACAGCCATGCCCTTGCTTCTCGAGTCTGGGAATACTTCCGCGTAATTAGAGAGCGGGGTGATAGTCTGTATTAATCGATGTTATTACGTAAGAATTGACCACGCGCTGGGTTACGTTTTAAACAAGTTAAATGGCTCTGTTCACAAACCGATCACTGCTTCAGTTATGGCGTGATTATCACTAAGGAGAAACCTCCTTGTCATAACAATGTAACAGATATGTTTTATGTTGTAACAAGTTTCACTTAATGAACGGATGTCTGACAATTAGGCGCACTGCTTGGCATCAATATTGGCAAATCTTAATTATTAAATCTTTTTGTTGCAGTCTTTCAAGCTGCCGGAGTACTTGCTATGGTGCCGCCATTGTGGTCTGCATTAAGTAGATAAGAGGGTTGATGACGATGTACTTCCTGGTAACGTCTTCATCGTGACAAACACATGCACCACAATAAACAAGTAACAAAGTCAGTTTGTGTAATATATAGAGGGTCATTTTCAGCTGTGAAAGCTATCCAGGAAAATACATTCTGAAAATGAACACCCGTAAGAAACTACGAAAAACATGCAGAAGTAATGATTTATTTTAACACGTAAAAATATGCAAATCATTACTCGGAGAAGGAGATGGGCTGAGAAATAGTTCATGCAAGAGTCAGATTGTTACATGGTAACGAAAGAGTGCCCAATCAGTCATTTACCTGAGCTACACCAGTGTAATGGTTACACCAGTGTAATGGTTTACAAGTATGATGTCACAACGCTAAACCCCTGTCACAGTGGCATTAGACCTTGCTTGACTCGAGTAAAGCTGACTCATCACACTGTAGGCAGTTTCTATCTATTTATGTTAGAGAGTTATAAACAGAACCCGCTTCCTTGGGATACCAATTTTCGCTCGTTTGATACCAAATCATTAACTCGTTTGATAAAAATGGTATTCCACGGAAGGTCGTTTAGTATCTTCTATCTATCACATTACACAGTATCTAATTGTGTAAATCTTTTGAGATGGGCTTCTTCACTAAGAATGAAGCACTTACTGCGTTTGTTTACATTAGAATCTTTATTATTACAAGCATTACAGAAATGAACACCTCATTGACAGTGATGCACAAGTCTATATTCTAAGCAGGGAATGTCTTAAATTGATTCACGTAAGGAAACAGAATCAATGAAAGGTGAAAGTGTAATGAAGAAACAAATGAAAATCGACTACACTGGCATATACAAAAATAATAAACTTCTTGTTACTCCGTCGAGACAGTTTGGTTCAGTCAGTAAGTTGTTGGGATATGGCTGTAAATGACAAATGGTTCCATAATTGAATACTCATATAACAAAACATGGCAGCTCAATAATATTGTCTCAGTCGATCAAACGAGCCTTAGGGTCTCATGCATTGAAGTGACAATACATAATCTCTTACGTCAAGTTGTAAGACCAAATAAATCTAGCTGGACGTATAGAAACCCTCGATGATACAGTTCTAACAGTGCTTATGTATGACAATAAATTTCAGTGTCGACTATATGCTGAAAGAAATTCCATTGGATGTTAATGGCAAAATATATATTAACATTGAAGGAATATGAACTGATCGCTGAAACTGAAAAGTATATGTTTCGATTATTATTTCTACAAGAGTTGCTGTAGGTATTGTGTCAATCCAGCGGGGAAAGCTACTGTTTGTTTCCACGTATGTATATCTTCCCTTTGCTTCCTATCACTGTATGGATTTTATAGATGCCGTATTGCTGAAACACAGCCGATATGAGTTTAAGTTTTAACTTTCTCAATTCTTGTTCTGGTGAGGAGATGTTTGCGAAGGGCTAACATTCCCGAACATAACCATCATAATATACCTGTACCATCAATTTGGCCTTTGGTTTACTTCTATGTTTAAGCTCAATTAATGTCGTGAATTTATCAAATATCACAACTTGTCTTGTCGATTAAGGATATTTGATGATTATATTTTTAGCATGTCAGAAATTTGACAAAAAGTGACCAAAATGATTTCCATGGGTGTTCAGTGGTTTTCCAAATTAATTGAAATACTCAATTATTGGTCGCAGTGACCAAATGACCAAGCAATCGATCACATTTTCTTATAATCAAACTCGAACAATTTTGGAGCAACTGTTTTAGTGTTTGAAACACTTGACGATGGAACATATCTTAGAATTTGTCAGGGCCTGAAAACGTGTTTAATTGTCAGAAAAATCAGTTTACTAACTGTAAAGTCAAGACTGAATATTTCTTGACGACTCTGGGAACTTTATGTTTATGTCCTCACTTTAAAATAGCAAGGTGCATTATTTTACATTGCGTGTTAAATTTGCAAATGCAATTTGCGCAGTTTCTACATAAAGCAAAAGACAACAGAGAACTATGTTATACTTATGTGCAATAACAACCTAAACACATACATTGGAAAACTGACCATAAACATACTTCTTTAATTATTGCTCGTTGGTAATGAAATAATTATCAATTGTAAGATTTCGAACACTAATTACCAGCATGTCAGAAATTTGAAATTCATGATGACGAGGTCAATATCTATCGTATCAGGAAATTTGACATTAATTATTTGTATATCCTGATTATGGATATTTGATCTACACTTGTTTGATGATGTCAGTACCAGTCTCTAGGGTATCAGAACATTTCACAAAAATGTTTACCTTCATGAAGGCTTAATGTTATTGCCAAATGTATCAAACTCAAAATAATATTTGTATTGTATATTTTTTTACTTATTTATAGTTTATCTGCACTCGTTTGATGACTGTGAAGTCAATGTAAAGGGAGACGGCCTCTTGCAGAGGTAACCTTCTGGGAACATCGAACAGACTGTCGTCATCGTCGGATATCTGAAAAAGACACAAAAAAAAATTCAATTTCATTAAAGTGACTGGTCAGCTGTAAAATGAGGCCATACTTTCTCATTACACTGACACTACCAGCACAAATGTATACCTTGAGTATACCTTGAGCACATTTACATCTTTAATTGTTTTCTCAGCGTGAAGGTGGGTAGCACAGTGGTTAAAGCGTTCATTCTTCACTCTGAAGACCTAGGTTCGTTTCCCCACACGAGAACATTGTGTGAAGCCCACTTCCAATGTCCCAAGCTGTTGCTTAAAATCGGCGTGAAAGCAGACTAACTCACTCACTCAGCGCAATTACTATAATCAGAAGGCTATTGAACAATCTATATTTTCAAGACTCACACACTACACCACACCCCCAACCCCCAAACACACACACACACACCCAAACTCACTCACTCACTCAACAGTGGTGTAGTAGCATAGTGGTTATGTGTCATGCCATTATAAAGGTTCTGAGGTTCACCACCGTGATTTAGATTCAGTCCTCCTCATTGACTAAGTTCCTAAACAGATGCTGCAGCACACCTCATTTGCATGTTTGTAGTGTCACATATCCTGCCAGAACCTACCAGAAACTGAGTCTCAGTCATCTTGATTGAGAGGACTGACGTCACTTTTGGTGTGAGCACGGGGTTGAAAAACCTCACTTCAGCTCCCCATGTGAAGGACGCCCCTGCAGTATTGTAGATGATGGTATAGGGCGACCACCGAACAGTCAGATAAAACACAGCCTTATCGTCATCCTTGGCCAACAGAAACATTACAGGGCTGAAAAAGATGCATTTACCAGATATGAAACCATAACTCAAACGTTCTCTTCAATTTGTTTTAGTCTTAGATGAGGTATTGGTTTGTTCGGTCAGCATCGGTCTATGCAACTGAGATATAACAGTCATCAACCAAGTCAGCTGGCCTGATCCTGTTTGTCACCTCTCACAACAAGTATGCTTGCTGAAGGACGACTCTGTGGTGGCTGACTTGAAATGGATGACTTTTTCCCATTAAGGTCACACACTCACATGATTAGAAACATCCACAGGCATTAAAAAACACACTTATTAAAATGTTGACTATTGTACACTTCACAAACACATACCTGTTGACTCCATCTGCGGCTGCCTCCACGACAATCTCCGCACCACTAGACAGGGGAGCAGGAAGAGACGTCCTGAATGCTGGCACCTGTTGTAAAGAAAACAGTGAGCAGGTGTGTGTTACATAACAACTAGACAGGGGAGCAGGAAGAGGCGTCCTGAATGCTGGCACCTCTTGTAAAGAAGACAGTGAGCAGGTGTGTGTTACATAACAACTAGACAGGGGAGCAGGAAGAGACGTCCTGAATGCTGGCACCTGTTGTAAAGAAGACAGTGAGCAGGTGTGTGTTACATAACAACTACACAGGGGTGCAGGAAGAGACGTCCTGAATCCTCTCACCTGTTGTAAAGAAGACAGTGAGCAGGTGTGTGTTAAATAACAACTGGACAGGGAAGCAGGGAGAGGCGTCCTGAATACTCGCACCTGTTGTAAAGAAGACAATGAGCAGGTGTGTGTTACATACCAACTAGACAGGGGAGCAGGCAGAGACGCCCTGAATACTCGCACCTGTTGTAAAGAAGACAGTGAGCAGGTGTGTGTTACATAACAAGTAGACAGGGAAGCAGGGGCAGACGTCCTGAATACTTGCACCTGTTGTAAAGAAGACAGTGAGCAGGTGTGTGTTACATACCTACACAGGGGAGCAGGGAGAGAGGTCCTGAATACTCGCACCTCTTGTAAAGAAGACAGTGGGCAGGTGTGTGTTACATAACAACTACACAGGGGTGCAGGAAGAGACGTCCTGAATACTGGCACCTGTTGTAAAGAAGACAGTGAGCAGGTGTGTGTTACATAACAACTACACAGGGGAGCAGGGAGAGAGGTCCTGAATACTCGCACCTGTTGTAAAGAAGACATTGAGCAGGTGTGTGTTACATACCAACTAGACAGGGGAGCAGGCAGAGACGTCCTGAATACTGGCACCTGTTGTAAAGAAGACAGTGAGCAGGTGTGTGTTAAATAACAACTGGACAGGGAAGCAGGGAGAGGCGTCCTGAATACTCGCACCTGTTGTAAAGAAGACAGTGAGCAGGTGTGTGTTACACAACAACTAGACAGAGGAACAGGGAGAGACGTCCTGAATGCTGGCACCTGTTGGAAAGAAGACAGTGAGCAGGTGTGTGTTGCATAACAACTGGACAGGAGAGCAGGAAGAGGCGTCCTGAATACTCGTATCTGTTGTAAAGAAGACAGTGAGCAGGTGTGTGTTACATAACAACTAGGCGGGTTAGCAGGGAGAGACGTCCTGAATACTCGCACCTGTTGTAAAGAAGACAGTGAGCAGGTGTGTGTTACATAACAACTAGACAGAGGAACAGGGAGAGACGTCCTGAATGCTGGCACCTGTTGGAAAGAAGACAGTGAGCAGGTGTGTGTTGCATAACAACTGGACAGGGGAGCAGGAAGAGGCGTCCTGAATACTCGTATCTGTTGTAAAGAAGACAGTGAGCAGGTGTGTGTTACATAACAACTAGGCGGTTTAGCAGGGAGAGACGTCCTGAATACTCGCACCTGTTGTAAAGAAGACAGTGAGCAGGTGTGTGTTACATAACAACTAGACAGGGGAGCAGGGAGAGACGTCCTGAATACTCGCACCTCTTGTAAAGAAGACAGTGAGCAGGTGTGTGTTACATAACAACTAGACAGAGGAACAGGGAGAGACGTCCTGAATACTCGCACCTGTTGTAAAGAAGACAGTGAGCAGGTGTGTGTTACATAACAACTAGACAGGGGAGCAGGGAGAGGCGTCCTGAATACTGGCACCTGTTGCAATTAAGACAGTGGGCAGGTGCGTGTTACATAACAACTAGACAGGGATGAGGTACTGAATTATCACACCTGTTTTAAAGAAGACACGTGTTGAATAGCGACTTGGTAATATCATCACCCGATCCCCTTAGTCGCCTCTAAAGACAAACATGGGTTGCTGAAGACCAAATCTAACTCTGATCTTCACTTGTATTATTAACAGTAAAACGTGAAGTGATGTATGTATGGAAATATGTGTATAGACAACTGGTAGGTTTCCAGACATGTATCACTGTACCGGGTCAATCCAGAGGGTCTGCATGCACCGTCCTATGTCAAATGGTACGTTGTCATGGAAACATTTGCCTGATGTGGTCGGTAGATAGGTGAATCCGTTGGAGCAGCTGACATCCTCGTGGGTCTGGTTCCTCATCACCGAGAGGGCATTCAGGATCCGGAAGTCGCTGCAGGCAACTAAACACAACACAGATTCCACATCAGTCTTGTCATGAATTCTTGTTGGTAATTCTGACCTGTCAATACAGTGCTGAAACAATAGTACTAAATAATATTTTGCTGCACAGTGAGATCTTTTACAGCCTGATTTCACAGTTACCTTATCGTTTCAACTTGGAATCAACCGGTTACACGAGGGATGACATTATTTCTGGTTTGGAATGAAAGCACATTTCTAATGCTGTGTCATTTTACAGGATGACCCACCCCTAAAGCTTGCATGGAAGAAAAGTTCTGGTAAATATTAAATATTCTACACTGGCCTCTCTGTTATTTAAAACTGACGAGCATATGATGCTTACCGACATAGCAACATTTGATACAGTAATCATATTCCTGTTGCGCCCAAGGTACGCAACTCCCAGTGAATTAGAAGACTTGGCCAACCGTGCTTCAGTTATACATAGTGGATTTGTTCGGTCCAATACATATTGACAAAGCAGTTTACGTGATGTGGGGGGTAATTAACGATAAATAAATCCATAATGGTTATAAATAATAAACAATAACAACAGAAATGTGTAGTCTATAACTGTTTTTATTGATAATTAGGTTGGGTCTATTGGGTCTTGAATTAATAAAACTGTAGATGTTGTAGCAAGATATTAATACAGTCAACAACGGCCCTAACGAACTCAAAGGGTTAATTTCGTTATAACCATGGTTCGTTTTACGCCTTTGTTATATCTGTCAGTTCAGAGCGTTCGTATTAAACGTAGTTCACTGAACAAAGAGTTAAAGACGTTGTTGGTTTGAACGTGTGACTGATGACACTATTATGTTGTGAAAGACACACAAACATTTTTGACAGGGGACACAGTTTCAATTGATGGATATGGCCAAGCCACTGTTACTTCCAGTGAAGGCGAGGGGAGGTACATCTGTTTCCATAGACGGAATTGGCGGTATTATTCAATGTGACAACATGTTTTATCATCAAATACTGGTTTCCAGAGGAGATATCGCTTGTAGAAGATCAAGCCACTACAATTAAGACATTAAGAGACTTTGGCATCTGTCGCATCAAGAAAACACGTCGAGGCTACCGTGGCGGACGTTGTCAACAACGGGAGGTTTCACGTCTCTCTTCAATGAAACTAAAACACTTAATTGGATCATGTACATACAAGGTACATACTTTGAAGTTTAGCACTATCAACTCAAGATCAGCTAAAACCTATGATTCCTCGACTGATAAGGCTCAGTCATTGTGTGATCTAATTGTAGACAATAACCTTGATGTTCTGGCAGTCAAGGAAACATGGTTACGTAAGGATGACACAGATAAGATTGCCATTGGCAAAATGACTCCTCCTGGATTCAAGTGCATTCAGGTGCCAAGGAATACCAAGAGAGGAGGAGGCGTGGCCATTGTATATAGAAAAACTCTACAGTGTTCAAGGATAAAACTCACAAATTGGGAGTCGTCCTGTGAAGTTCTAGCAGTGACACTCTCTGTAGATAATCAATCCATAACCCTGATTGTGGTTTACCGTCCACCTGGGCAAGAAGCAACTTTCATTCAATCTTTACCTTTGCTGCTTGACAGCATTGTGACACTTCCTGGAAAGTTACTCATGTGCGGTGACTTCAATCTTCATGTTGATATGCCACAGAGGAGAGACGTTGTAAGGTTCAATAATCTTCTTCAATCTCACGGTTTGCACCAGCATGTAAAAGAGCCCACCCACAGCAAAGGACATATTCTGGATCTAGTTATTACTAGAGACAATGAACTTGACATCACCGATGTCACACTGGACCAGTTAAGTGGGATCACTTTGCCGTTCTGTTCAACACGAACATCATTGCCCCCAGGCGAGAAATACAAGAATTAGTGTTCAGAAGATGGAAAACTATCAATATGCCTAGCTTCAAACAAGATCTCGACAATGCCCTGGTACATCATGGGAACAGATCCGCTGATGAAAGTGTTGATCTGTACAATGAGGCATTGAAGGAAACTTTGGATAAGCATGCACCACAGGTATCAAAGAAAGTTACAATACACCAAAATGCCGCTTGGTACAATGACAACATACGCAATGAAAAACAGAAACGCAGAAAACTAGAACGACAAATGAGACGGACTGGACTTTCCATTCACAAACAGCTTTTCAATATCCAAAGGAATATGGTTACCTGTTTGATAGAGAAAACCAAGAGATGCTATTTTGTTGAGCAGTTAAATGGAGCTTCTAATGTTAAAGAGGTTTATCGACTTTCAAACAAGCTCTTGTTCAAGAAAAAAAGATAAAGTTCTACCAACCTTTGATGCACTGGATGAACTCGCAAACAAGTTTGCAAAGTACTTCAAAGAGAAAATTCAAGTTATAAGGACATGTTTGGAAAATCTCCAGTCTGATACCTCGCCTGCATACAGCGAAGATATAGACTGTTGTGATTTTTCCCCACTGGCCTTTTTCGGTGATACAACTGAAAAAAGAAGTGGGTGAGATAATTAAGATGAGTCCGGGTAAATCATGTTCCCTAGACCCCGTGCCAACATGGTTCCTTAAGGAGTGCCTTGACTCTGTTGCTCCTATCCTGATGCACACAATAAACACATCTTTCTCAGAAGGATCAATGCCACTGTCAATGAAGGAAGCTCTTGTCAGTCCTCTCATAAAGAAGAGCCAGCTTGACTCTGAGATAATGAAGAACTACAGGCCAGTATCTAACCTGTCGTATTTCTCAAAACTCATGTAGCGTGTTGTTGCATCAAGACTCAAAGAGCACATGGAATCAAACTGCTTGTTTGAAGTTATGCAATCTGCATATCGGCAAGGGCACAGCACCGAGACGGCGCTAGTTCGTGTGAAAATGACTTATTGTGTGCTGTTGATTCTACAGGAGGAGCCATCCTAGTCTTACTGGACCTATCCGCTGCGTTTGACACGGTAGACCACGGCATCTTAATCTCCATTCTTGAACGTAGGATCAGGGTCACTGGTCTAGCGTTAAAGTGGATCAGATCGTACTTATCAAACCGACATCAGTCAGTGTGTATTAATGGAACAATCTCGGAGAAGGAAGAACTTCAATTTGGAGTGCCTCAAGGGTCAGTCCTCGGTCCGATTTTGTTTGTCATTTATACATCACCACTTGGAGACATAGCCCGATCACACAACCTTGCTTTCCACTTGTACGCAGACGATACCCAACTCTACCTAGGTTTCAAGCCTCTGCAGTCGTCATGCGATGCAGCATGTTCGGCAATTCAAAGTTGTATTGCTGATATCCAAAAAATGGATGACCAGACATTTCCTGAAGCTGAATCAAGACAAAACAGAACTGCTCATTCTCTGTTCAAGTTCAGCACGACAAAGGTTGTCTTCAATAAGACTCGAAATTAATGAGTGTATCATTGAACCCACTGATCATGCTCGCAATCTTGGGGTGATATTTGACAGCACTATTAGCCTTGAAAAGCACGTCAATAAAATGTGCAAGAATGCCTACTATTTCATCCGCAACATAGGCTTAATCAGGAAGTACATCAACCAGCAAACTGCTGCAACATTGATGCAAGCGTATGTAGTATCTCGGTTGGACTATTGCAATGCTCTGCTGCATGGGGTTCCAGAATATCTTCTGAGCAAGTTACAGAGAGTCCAGAACTCAGCTGCCCGAGTTGTGACACGCACAAAGAAGACAGAACATATAACACCTGTTCTGATCACATTGCACCGGTTACCCATCCGACGACAACGTATCCATTACAAAATCTCCTAGGAGATATCGTTTCGGTAAGGTTTGAGCTAATTACTGATTGGTTAATATTTTTTGACTACTTTCATCTACCTCAGCTGTAAACAAAGTCATTGCTGCAATTAAGTCATTTTGACAGGGGACACAGTTTCAATTGATGATATGGCCAAGCCACTGTTACTTCTAATGAAGGCGAGGGGAGGTACATCTGTTTCATAGACGGAATTGATTGGACAGTGGAAGTGATGGAAACTCGGTTAGCATTAATTGTCCCAGCCACCTTGACAACATTAGGTGAGCTGACGTCATCATCTACAACATCAACATATACCTATACCACAACATCGTCTACAAGTACAACGTCTCATGCTAACATCAATATAAACTCAAGATGTTGACAAGTATATACAGATGCAAGCAAACAAAAACACCGCTCGAAAAACTCTCCGTGACACGGATCTGGTGGCCCAGTTTCTCGTCACGCTTGGCGAAACACGCCCTATTCACGGCCTTCCCCCCATGGAACTCATGCAACAACTATCTCTGCAAATTTATCATTTCTACCAAAAGGCTCGGTGGTAATGAATTGACTTGAAAGTGAACAGTGATGGCCGGGAATTCCTAGAACTTACTGAGAGGGTCTCCAAAACACGCCTGGGGGATCAAGCCGATCCGGGTTGTCAGTCCAAAAATGTGGACTCGGTCAAGTTGTTTAAGCCTAACAAGCGCTTGCGTCTGGTTGGCTATAGATACCCCGAGTCTCCATTTTATGTGTCCTGCACCACTGTAAAAAACCCAACTGTTGACTCGGTGTGGTTCAAACGACAACCAGTTGGCATCCATAAACTGGAGTCGTTCATGAAGCGTATGTCAACAGCAGCTGGTCTGTCAAATAACAGAAATCTTACGAATCACAGTGCCCGAAAGCACAACAATGTTCCGCCATAACTATTCTCACATCAGTGATGCACAGCACAGCGAGATATCCTCCATTCTCTCAAACTCAAATTCTTCAGTTTCAGGCCAGCTGGCCTCATGTTGTAGCGAAGCAAGGAGGGATGTAAACAAAGCCCCGGCACCCCGACTGTTGCTTGTCCATGACATATGCCTCCAACACTACTTGTGTTTCTAGCAAGAGAAACCACCTCCAGTCAGTATTTGGCTCCAGGTACATGCAGGGGGGTCTTTCACCGTAAATATCAACAACTTTTCCTCTGACAAGCGTCGTAGACCTGTCATTGAAAGTG